GTGGTTGCCACCACCTAGACAGCTTGGAGCAGCGGAGGAGGATTGGCACGAGTTGGTGATTGTTCGTGGCCATCTTCGGTGATTGTGAGGGGATTTGTACCTTCTCCGATGGAGCGCCGAAAGGTAACCCTAGTGGATTGCTCGTGTCATTGAGTTACCTCACTTGTGGGTAGGTTCTTATAGTGTCTAATTGTGTGGACGAGGTTCGTGCAACACCTCTTAGCCGCCGAACCACCAAGTGTTGGTCGACACAACGGGGACGTAGCGTGTTGGCAAGCACGTGAACCTCGAGAGAAAATTGGTTGTCTCTTGTCCTTTGGTATTCTCTTGGTGATTGATTAAGTATTCATCTTATGATTGGTTCACTCCTCTACGCGGCGGTATAATCACCTAGCTTACTCATTTATATTCCTGTAAACTAGGTATAGCAAGCTCTTTAGTGTAGCTAGAATTGAGAGCTTGCTTTGTAGATTAAGTTTATCTAGTGGAGCTTTTTAGTGTAGCAAGTGTGAGAGCTCTTAGTGAGTAGTGACATAGCAAATTATGTGTTTAGTGATCATAGCAACTAGAATTGTTGGATAGGTGGCTTTCAACCCTTATAGAGCTAGAGCAAGTTTGCATTTCGCTATTTGTTAAACTAATCAAATTGCTCTAGTTGGTTTGTAGATTTTTAAATAGGCTATTCACCTCCCCTCTAGTCATATTAGGACCTTTTAGTCGCGCGGGAGATTTCATTTTGCTTTTCCTAAGGAATTAGAAATAGTTTTCTAATTTAATTTTGAGCTGGTCTTTGGTAAATCATATAAAATCATGTAGGTGTCCAAAAATTGTGATACAAATTTTGTTAGGTTTCTAAAATTGTGCTCTATCTGTTAGTGTATTTGGTTCATATATGTACATGTTAATACCAGGAGCTATTAAACCATTTGAAAATATTGAATATTGTTAGGATAATTATTGTAGGAATTTTTGTGGTAAATTGGTGCTAGCCTTGGTCCTGAAATTTTTATAGTAGCTTTATGGTATTATTAGGTGCTCACTGTAATTTTTTGTAGCTTTAGAATAAACTAAGCATTAGGGTAGTTAAATGCTATTTGTTTTAAATATACATTAAATCATTAGTAGAAATAAAGATATATCCTTCATTTGTAAAGCTAGGTGCTTGTTAGTTGAACCCAATACTTTGCTTGGTAAAGATGATAGTGAGCTTAGTATCTTAGCCATTAGAGCTAGCTTAGTAGCTTAGTATGTGTATTCTTAGTTTAAGAGTTGATGTTGCCTAAATGCTAAGTGTTGCATCATTATCGCATGCATGTAGAGAACGAGTTGACGGAGATCGTGACCACCGACGATCATGAGTTCAAGGAGATCATCGAAGAGTAGGCCCCGTTCGCTTGGAGGAATTTGGAGGAATCTAGAGGAATTTGTGAGAGGAAAACACTGTTCCGGATGAAAAAAGAAGCAGATCAAGCCAGGTTTAAGGGCACGCGAATGAGGCCTATGAGGAGGAGATTCTCATGCAGGAGGAGGTCCCAGAGCTGCCACTGACTGACTCTGCTGACACCGCGTCTGCCCAAGGCAAGCCCCGGTGCATAACCCCTTATTTTTTATAATCACTGTTTATATATGTTATGTGCATTTATGTTACATGAATTTTATGGAAACCACATGCATAGATATACCTGTCCTAAGAGTCTTACTAGTGCAGGTTCGAGTAGCTGTTATGCTTAGGTTTTCGGTAGCGTGAGTAACCTGTCGTTACTCATAATAGGTGATTATTATTATTACTCTTATAATAAAATAATAAAAAGAAAATAGAGTCTAGATACGGATATGGTGTGGATATTGGTGGGTGTAACAGGTTGTGTCCCACGGCCAACGGGGCTTAGCTTGGTTACACTATTTTCCCAATCCGTGTTGATTAAGGACCATCCATTGCTGTGGATGGTAGTCATATCATAGACTTATTATCCTGAGCACATACTTGCTTATGGGAGCGGGAAGGCTCATTACGCTCTTGTCGTGGGTTCTGGCTCTTTCCGAACTGACTGATTGGAGGTGGGAAAGGTGGAGGTCTAAGCACATATTGAGACCGGGTCTCAAGTGTGGGGGCTTGGAGTCCAAGTTTGGACGGGGACCTGGACCCGTGATAGGAGTGGAATGGGTTGGTCTTATTTATGCCTAGGGTACAAATGGAGCATGTATTTTGGGGTACCCAGTTAGGATACATTGGTTCATGAATCGCCGTTTCCATGAGACGGTATGACTTGGCTATGGTCTTGCACCATAGTAATAACTGGAAAATGAAAGATGGTGAAATGGTTCTGATTGCTCAACCCTTGCTTGAAAGTAGAACATGTGCTTACTTAGAATGGTTAGCTAATAAAGTAATCATGACTGCTAATAAAACTTGACTGTAAAGATAAACTATCAGTAATGCTTTCCGCAAACAAAAAGAAAACAACAAACTCATAGTGCCTATCATATCCTTGAGAGTTAGGAAACTATTCCCACTAGTCGGGTAAGTCTTGCGAGTACATTGTGTACTCAGGGTTTATTTTACCCCTGTTGCAGGTGCAGCTTGAGGAGTAGCTCTTTTGTAGAGGATTCTTCTGGTGGGCACATATGGATCCTTGTATCGTTTTCGCTAGATGTTTATTTTATTCCGTTGTTTAATTATCGCACTCTGAACACTGGTATTGTAATAAATAATTTTCAAGAACTCTTGTTGTATGAAATGAACTAAGTGTTGTAAGCTCGTACTCATTATTGGATTTTGGATATAAAATGTGGATTGTTTTGAGTTCTCCCTTGGGGTGTGCTCGACGGAACTATCCACTGTAGCTCACTTTCGAGGTGCTTAGTGTCTAGTGGAAGACGAGCGTCTCCAAAAGCGTGTTATTTCTGACGGTTCTGCCACATATAGCAGTATGTCAATACTCAATTTTGGGATAATATCTCTTAAGCCACATGGCCTGTCGCATTCATTCTTAAACATGCCACTAATTGAGCTCATCATAAGACTAACTATATTTGGAGCTTTCAATGAAAATCACCTTTTCTGCAAGAGTAGGTATAATCTAATTGTGCACTTTCTTATACACAGTCAAGAGAATTGGCAATAAAAAAATACTTAATTCTTATAAGTGATATGTTGATTCTTTTGGTGCTTCATCAATATCTTCAAATTCTTTAACACCTACCAGTGGACCTGTTCTGGATTAATAAACTAATATTTTGCCAAGTATCCCGATGCCAAGTCTAGACTAGTATTGACTTGGAGCATTCTTAAAGTTAATGACAGTCGAAGCATATGGAACGTCTTCCTCTTCAACTATTACTAACTTATTCTTAGAATATTTGGGAAAACTTACTGCGTTGCGCAACTGCACTATACAAATAGACAGGCATGACATTACTTATTCAAATCTATCACTTATGCATATACTTGATATGCTTTTTGTGATAATCCTTGTACTCATTTGGTCCTATATTGGTGTATCTTAAAAGCCAAAAACTCAGAGGCTTCACAAAATATATCATATTAAAAAATTTGGGTGAGTAGAAAACTCTTATGTGACATTCCTATTGCCACGTAACTCAACTTCACCCATGTAGAGTATTAGGACAATAAACTTTTCCATCTTTTTTAAACATAATTGTCCACTCAATGAAATTCTAAACCATAGTGAGCTATGTTCTAAGTTTAAATCTTTCAAAACTCCCTTTGAAGCCACGCTTAGAATTGTAGACCCTTTTATAGCCTACTGGTTTGACTTCATTAGAAAACTTATTAACAGACACACTTTAAATATACTTATGGACCTAAGCTCATGAAATTGCTTAGTTTAGAATAACAAAATTCCTCTTCTAATGTGATCATCTCATAGATTTATCATGGATCACAAGCAGTTTAATAACAATAGAGGTTTACTTATGTGCCTAATTATCAATTAATGGTTTCTACATATATCTGTTGTGGCACACTAATTGACTCTTGAAAATCCATAATAGAAATTGTAGTAATTTAAATGGAGGTATACAAATGACTTATGGCACAAACTGAGATATTCATGTCTTCTTGGGTCATTGATACAGAAAACTAAGCACGTATCTCTTCAAGATTTAATCTTCCTCCTTTGTGAACTCCCACTAGCTCCCACTGATTTTTGCATTCTCTAGGAACACATTCATCAAATATTAACTTAGTAAAATAGTTATAATAATAGAAACACAATCCCTTGGACTTTGCTCCCACTGATTTTTGTGTTCTCTAGGAAAATAATCAGGGTGCTATATGGACAACTCATTTACTTAGAATCTTATTTCTTATCCTTAGCTTGATGGTACTTATGTCTTGCTAAGATTTTTACCTAGTAAAACTTTTATGGTCAAATATTCGTCAATCAACGTTGGCCAGAACGACAAAAATAAGACATATAAGTCTAAAAAAGCTCTACGAACTAGTCTAATCAGCGTGGCTAGAATAAACTAGAACAAGAAACTTGATGGACATGCAAACACTAATTAGCGTTGGCCAGAAATAGTGAAAACAAGCCATACTTCAATTAGATACTAATTTTGGGCTAAGGGACAAAATTAGTATGTTTTTTATTTCTCAAATCTCATGCTTTATAATCTTATTTGAATAGAGCATCTCAACCCTGATGAGACATTCCATTCTTCTCTTCGAAATGTGGCTTAAATATAGTGATACAATTTTGACAAGGTCTCATCATCTTGACTAATGATTAACTTAAAGATAAAACTGACATAAAGAAAAACTCATATTACAGGAAATAAATATCTTTGCCAATTAATAAGATAAATCATAATAGAATAAATTTGATGTATTCATAAACTCCAAAATCAAGAACATTTGTTCAAAACACAAAGTATCTCATACTAAGATGACATAAGCATCATTAAGAACTAAGTTTAAAACTAATCTAATGCGAAGCTCCAAGGCTCGACTTTATCTTTATTCCATCAATGGCTTCTTAGACTTTGCTCCCCTTGCTCCCCAGGTTTGGCAAGACCTGAGGAGAAGTTAAGATATGCATTATTGCACCTTACTTAATCCACCATATGTTGGGGAAATATCTTAAGTAAAACTTATATGACAACTTAAGTTACATATCTTTCTAAGCTATTCTTATACTTATCATCAATTTGGTAACTTGCAAAATTTGCAGACTATTGGAAACTTATCATTTTGAACATGTTTGTTATGGTTTTCTGGCATAGAATTCATAAGGCAATTTACCATAAACTCATTGGACACATCTAATCCAAGTGCCTTCAACTCATAAGCCATATCAAACAAGCTTTTAATGTGGTTACCCAGACCATTTATCCCATCATAACGGAAATTAAGTAAGTTATCAAAGAGGAAAACCTTTCTAAAGTGTGCTTTAATAGAGTTGTGAAGCTCCTTAGCACTTAATCCCTCAGTGTTGTTTTCATTAGAAAGAAACCTCCTCATCATGTTAACTGAGAGCGAACATCTTATTATTATTTTAGCAATCCTGTCAGATTTCTCCTATTTTTCTAATTTTGGGATGTACTCCTTCATCCTCTCAGTATAGTATTCATAAATAGGAGAAGGAGCATGTGGTTTTTCCTCATTAAGCGCATAATCAAGGTCCAGCTCCTTGAGAATGGCATGCACCCGATTATTCTAAGTAGAAAAATTAGTGCAACTTAGGGGTTCTATAGTACTTATATAGTCCGCATAATTTACTAAAAATTTGAAAGAAAAAATATCTCAATTACTAAGCTGTATATAAGATGTACTTAAAGCATGCAATTAAATCAACGTTGGTCAGAATTAACAACATGCTTAAGGACTTTAATTTGCATCACCGTTGGGCAGAAACAAACAAAAATCCATCTTAATAACTTATAATTAAAGTCAACGTTGGTCAGAAATTAACTATAAGTAATCTCCAATTAAATTTCTCGTTGGTTCCATTTAACCAGAGATCATTTTATTATACAGTGGTGGATATATATGTATATATAAGCAGGTATAATAGAATGCAAATTCATGCAAAACTTAATCTTAGGGCATAAAATGCTCATGAAAACATAAATTAATACTGGAACTGAAGCAAAAACTGAGACTTAGAACTTATTCAAATAGTGCATAAAAATTAACCGAGTAAATTGGACTAAAGAAAAAATTCTTAAACTTAAACATTCCAAGCAACATATTCCCAAAACATGCTTAAAATAACTTAAAGATTACTAAATAAAAAAAGATACTTAAACTTTATATGAAGTGGGAATATAAAACATTAGGAGGGTTTAGACTTATTTTATACACTTAAAGCAATAATTAAGTTGCTAATAATAAAACTAAAGCTAAATTACTAAGGGCATTAAAAATTAAAAAACTTAATTAAAGCACTTAAATAATGTGCTTATATTAAGTAGCAAGGCAAACTTATATTCTAAAATTAAAACTTAGATCTACTTTTAAAGGATAGGCCCAACGGTAGTTCAAAGGTACTGTATGAGGCTGCTCTTCCCTTAGAAACCCAATAAATGACCCACTTAGAATCACCCTAGTGGCTGGGATGATCTCATCTATTAAATTTCACGGATGACTAGGATTTAGCCAGGCAAAAACTTATGGGTATAAATACCCGGCCAAAACCCTAATATCCACAGTTACTTAGTTCTTTTATGCTTCTTCGTGCAGTAGCCACATAGGGAAATCATAAAACTCAGTGAGAAAATTTATATTAACATAAACTAAACTCAGAAATAATGGAAATTAACATTAATTTAGTCAAAACTTAATTAAAATGCTTAATTAGTGCGCTGAAAACAAATACTAAAAAAACTTATATTCTCGAAAAGGGGAAACTCAAAATCGGCCTTTACTGAGGCGAGGCCCAGCAGCAGCCCACTTGTGTGCATTGAAAACATGGCCGAGAAAAGGCCCAGCCGGTCCTCTCCTAAAGCCCATAATGACAGCAAATCTCATCCGTTGATCTCAATCGAACGGACATGGTTCACTCGCGCAGCGACAACCGCAGAGAGGCGAGACTAATCTCCACTCACTTCTCAGTCTCACTTTCCTCTTCTCTTTCTCAGACACATGGCCACACACATAGAGAGAGGCGGAGCGCACGCCGACCAGAGCAACGCACGGCGCGGAGCGACTGGCAGGGGGAAGCAGTGTGTCAAGACCTGCGCGCGGCTCGGTCTAAGTGGCTCGCCGGGTGCTCTCAAGCCTACAGCCGGCGGCCCTTGCTCATGGCACGATGGTAGCTGGTCTTGGGCGGCACGGCCCCGAGGGCACATGCAGCACAGCTCGTGGCGGTGGTAGCCTCAGAAGGCACGTGCGCTGCCGGCCCTGAAGGCGCGCGGCGACAGCGCCTCACAGGTCCGTGCGCGCAGCAGCGGGTCTCGGCCCCTACGGTGGCGGCGCGTTTCATGGTGGCGTGGCCCAGTCAGCGGCGGTGGTGATCCGGCCAAGGCACCGGGTATGAGCCATGCACTCGCATTGCTGAGCACGGCCATCTGAAGGTGGCGACCCGGCCTTCAACCGAGTACGAGCCACTATGACTTAGAGCGGCGACCCGATCTGGAACCAGGTACGAACCACACAGGTGCGCCCTTAATCTCAATCTCAATCTTAGATGCTTAATCTTAGGGTTAGGGTCTTTTTTCTCAGATTTTGCCGAATCCTCTCATTCTCAATGCTTACTTAGTATCAGAATTTGGCTTAAACCGAGACTAATTGCTGTAATCAGAAAAAACTTAACCATAAACTTAGACTAATCATGAACATAAACTCAGATCGGATCTAATTAAAGTCTAATCTCTTACTGACAACTCAATACGAATCTAATTCGACACTTAGATAGCATAAACATACATCACAGAGGCTAATCATGCATGTGACAGATAATACTGATCTTAATAAAAACTGATATGAATCTAATCTGACTTAGCCGAAACTAATCTAATATAACAGAGGCGTAAGACAAAATTGACTCTGGCCTAGGATTATGTTAGGTCTAAGCAGGCTCTTATACCGATTGTTGAATTAGAACTTAGACTAACAGGATTTTACCTTAGCCTAAACATGATCACTAACTCATCTAAATGCGGAAATTAATCTTAGATACTAACCAGAGCCTGTGGACGTCATCTGTGTCGCTGGAGATGTGATGAAGTTGATATAGATGAAGTAGATCTTAGTCTTCACCAGATCAGGGCTTGACGCTCCTAGTTGGTGAAGAACGCGATGAAGATCTTACAATACCTGGATGGACTTGGGTAGATGGCCTTCCTAAACCTTCCAGCACCTAATCGATCGGTTATGTGAATAGTCACAGGGACTAGAGAGATAGTGACACCAAGGGTGCCTCTCTTGTTTATAATCGCGCTGTGGGCTAGGGGGCTGAACCCTTAGAATTCTAATTGTTACCGCTGTTCACGATAGTTCTTATTTAGTTGGAAATAAATGATGAGTAGGTGGATTTAGCTTAACGCTTAATTAATCTCGTAATTAAATTCGGGATTAGCCGATCACATTCCAACACTTTAGTTTACGAAAGTATCGACTGGAACCTAATGCTGATGCACACTTTAGATACATACTGAGGGGCCCTTTGGCACGGCTCATCGAGCAGCTTCTAGAGCGGCTTTTGATGAAGCCGTGCCAAACGCTCGAACCCAAAACAGCTTGCGACCGAGAGCCAGCAAAAGCCCCACAAAATGCGGTGAGACAGTTCCTCCGCCCGCCAGAAGCCAAAAAAGTGGCTTATTCCGGCTCCTCCTCCACACTTTCCATCCTTGTCCCCGGCTTGCTCTCCTCCCCGCCGCCGCGTGCCGACGGCCGCCGCCGCGCCGGCCTCGAGCTCCGCCCCGCGCGGCTTCGATCTCCCTGCACCGCTCCGCCGACCTCGAGCTCCGCCCCACCGGCCTCGAGCTCCAGCTCCGCCCCACTGCCGGCCCCTCCCTGCTCTGCCCCACCGCCGACCTCGAGCTCCCCCGCCAGCCTCCTGCTACGCCAGAGAGAGAGAGAGAAAGAGAGAGGGAAGGGAGGGAGTGGGTGACAGGATAAGGAGTGTGGCCGTTCGGATAAGGAGAAGAAAAGAAGGGGAGAAGGAAAGAAAAAGAAAAAAAGAAAGAAAAAGAAAAGAAAAATGAAGAGAAAAAAGAAAAAAAGAAAATTGAGAAAAAAATATAAGGGTATTTTGGACATTTGACATCTTCTTTATAACTACAAGAAGCCGTTTTGCCAAACATTTTCGTACAAATAAGCCAGAGCCAGAAAAAGCTGCTTTTCCATATAAGGCAGAGTCAGAGCTATTTTTTCACGAGCCTAAGCCGCGCCAAACGTGCCCTGAGTCAGTCACCACCGCAACCGCGAGTCCGCAACACAAAGCCACCAAACGCATGCGCGCAGTGCAATATTACGAGAGCCACGTTCCACTAACTTGCAATACGAGAGGGAAGCCTGCACCGGCAGTGCAGACTGACAGCTAGGACGCAAACGGAAGGGCTAGTTTGGATACATCCATTCTACGTGGAGATTGGGTTGGATTAAAGGGAAAATGAACTGATTTTCTTCTCAATCTCCTCCAATCCCCATGAGAAGTGATTGATTCAAACTAGCCCTGAAAGAACGGTATTGGCGTGTATATGGGCCTGTTTGTTTCCTAGTCCTGCTCTGCTTGCGGGGGCACAGGTTCGGGAGGAGCCGGAGGCGGTTACATGAGCTCGAGCTTGACCTCAGGTTCGTACCGGGCAGCGACAAGCTCGTGGTAGCTGCCTTCGGCGGCGGAGGGCGAGGAGCAGGCAACAACGAGGTGGTGCTCCTGCTAGGCTGGGGCTCGGCGGAGCAGGGCGAGGCGCAGGGTGGGCGCCATAGCCGCCGCCACCCTCGGGCGAGGCTACAATGGGCGAGCGTGCGGAGGTGACCGAGCTCGTTTCTTCGGTGGAGGTGATGCCAGACGCAGCGGTTGGCACGCTTGAGCGCACAACAAGCCTGGCCCTAAAAAAACAAAGTCCAATTTCGTTCCTGGGCGGCCTGGCCAAGAGCTGCTTTGAGCAGCATGTGGGTCGAGCTGAGGGGGAGAACCAGAGAAATCCGAGGGCATGGCCATGCAAACAAACATGCCATATATGTGCTACTTGGAAGGAGAGTTAACAAAGGTTCATCCTCCCTCTCAAGTTATTCTTGGTTTGCGCTCTTTGTGTACTCACATTGACGATATACTACCGACATCTAAAGGCTAACACAGTTGGTATCAGAGGCGTCTATCCTCAGCAGTGCTTCTGAAAATCACGACTTTCTCAACCTTAAATCATAATTCCTAGCGGCGTGATGATCTCCACTCATCAATGTTGACGGTCCTTGACTCAAATAACTTGACCGCCAATATTTTTTTCAAAAACAACAACATTTAATTTTATATCTTTATAAACTAGAGTTCCACTAATAAATTCCAGAAGTTTCTA